AATCGCTGACAAACTGCTGAGACTTACTCGGACTAGTTTCTCTGAATCACCACGCCATTTGCTCACAATCGTGGAGGCGGAAATATTGAAGAATGTCGTATTGCACTCGGTGGCCACAGCTTTGGCCAACAGGGTTTTGCCCGTGCCTATGTTTCACAAGAATTTGCGCAAACGCGTTGAACGTTAATCAATTTTTTTTTTGATGTATCCTATATAGATATGTACATATATATCAATTGGTCAAAATATTATTATGTGTAAAACGATTGAAAAAACCGTTAACCATGAAGAAAGAAAAAGGTCCAAAATCTAGTATCCATTCAGCATACAAGTGAAAGATTGGAATCTGATAGGGAGAATAAGATAAGTTTAGGAAAAAAACAGTATAAAAATGATAAAGTAGATGCGAAGAACAAGTTAACGTGGTATTTACCCCCTAGCAATCAGTTTGCTTGATAGTACATATTTTATTTATGTCAAAACTGTTTCAAGCGTTAAAAACAAAGTCCGTTAGGTGAGATAAGCTGTGCTTTTGATAACTACATTAACTGGTCATTGTAACTATTATACGTAGGGTTATTTGGATTTGTCACTCTGGTTGGTGTTCGTCGAAAGGGTGCTTGCTTTGTTTACCTGATCCTCTTTAGCCCGAGGGTGTATTGTTGAGTTTGGTTATTGCAAATCTAAAGACCGAACGAACTGGTTCTGAGCACCTAGGAGGGATTGAAGATTTGGATGGCTATCGCCTCGCCCTGTGCATAAAATGACAAACCGAAGTTTCAAGCTTTCAAGCTGATTTCTGAACCTATATTTTATGGATGTTTTGTTGCGCTCCTACTAATGAATGTGTAACGGGTTCCGTATGGTTAGAATTTGAACTTTCTGCGGGGCGGGGGAAGGACGAAGAACAGATTCTCTTGGGTAAGTGACTTATCGACATAGTTCCAATCTGTTTCGAGGATTCGATGTGCAAATCACAATCGGGAAACAAATATTTGTTTGTATCGAGTGTTACACTGCTTAATATGATTGATGGAGGGCACATTAAGTTCCGAGAAGCTCTCAAACAATCATGACCCATTACACTAAGATACGAGAAAAGCGGTATGTGTATCTTCCGCACAAGTTCAAACCTATGGTTACTCGTGGCTCTTACGAGGGTTACCTCAGTGTGAATAAGTTACCGTTTTGAAAAAAGCTCAACTGTGATTCATTTTAGTTTAATTTTGACCGATTCTGTCAACTTCGGGTCCACCGGTAGGTTGTAGAAGCTAAAATTTGATCGACTGGGATGACCCTAGAGCAACTACTCGTGAGGTTTGACTCAACTGTCATCTTTTACTACTTTTTTTATCACTATCGCCTGCTGGATAAAAATTTAACTGCATGAACAACAATGAATCAGAAAGATTCTCCTCGATGGAAGAATCACAAGCAATGTAACCAGCAGGCGTACAGCCTCATTAGGCCCTTTTTTATCGACGTCGTACCGCACAAATCCCTACACTTTCAAACGTAACATACCAGACGGCAGTTTGAGTTGTTTGTCTTTTCTGAAACGTATTTTTGAGCAGATGAAACGAAAAGATGGGCAGGGGCTTTTGGAACTTCATAGAACCGCCATCAGAACCCTCTCAGGTGGGAACGCATCAAGTCCTCCGGTACTGCCGTTTATTCAAAGCACCTGAGGATGCCTTACTTAGCGTGGTGGTGGTGGTGGTGGTGGCACATAACAAGATCCAACGTTCCAGCGAGTTCATCATCATCCAACTTTGATGACAGACAAATCTGCTG